AGATACTTCTTTTTAAAAAATTATTGTTAGGTGCCCTTGAGTCGGTACCGATGCATAGCAACTCTATGCACAACAGAACGAAATACTGCCTAGTCCTGAGCCAACCTCACAATTGTTGCTATGTTTGAGCCACTGCTGCTGCCACTTTGCCAATCCATCTTGTGGGGGTCTTCCTTTTTTTTTTGACTCTCCATTTACCATCACTATATCCTTCTCCAGGGACTTGGTGTCCCCTAATAATATGGCCAAAGTATGAGAGGCGAAATCTGGCCATCCTGGCTTCCAAGGAGTATACTAGCTGTACTCCTTCCATGACTGGTTTGTCTGTTTGGCAGTCCTTGGTACTTTTAATATTCCTCTCCAACACCATAACTCAAATATATCAATTCTTCTACAGTCTTGCGTATTCACTGTCCAGCGTTTGCATGCATGCAAGGTTACTGAAATTACCAAGGCTTGGGTCAGGCACATCTTAGTCCTCAAACTGACAACTTTGCTCTTAAACACTTTATAGCGGTCTTGTGTAGCAGATTTCCCTAATGCAATATGTTGTTTGTTTTCTTGACTGCTGCTTCCATGAGTGTTGATGGTAGATCAGAGCAAAATGAAGTCTTAGACAACTTCAGTCTTTTCTCCATTAATCATGATGTTGTTTATTGGTCCAGTGGTGAGGATTTTTGTCTTCTTTACATTGTGGTGAAAGCCATACTGAATGAAGGCTGTGCTCTTTGTTCTTCGTCAGTAAGTATTTTAGTCCTCTTTGCTTTCAGCAAGCAAGGTTGTATCATCATTATTGGTAATTTCCAATTTTCCTAGATTCAAACTTTGTACACTCCATATTTTAATTATTAATGAATATTTACAACTGTTTCTCTTCATTTTGAGTTGCGCCCCATCAGCAAATGAAGCTCCATTCACGTTATCATGGTCAACTTTACTTTGATGAGACAGCTCTTCCCCAGTCATATTTTGAGTGCCTTCCAACCTGAGGAGCTCATCTTCTGGCATTATATCTGAAAATATTCTTCATCATGTTTCAATATTCAGTATTCTAGTGTTATCTGACAGTGTTCCACTGTTCTTCATACAGTTTTCAGTGACTATTTGGAAGTACTCTCTGTCTCCTTCTTCCTAGTCTGTCTTCATCGGGAAGCTCAGCTCAAACCTGTCCACTGTGGTTGACCCTGCTGGTATTTAAAATGCCCATCACATAGCTTCCAGCATCGCAGCAACATAGTACAACAAGCTGACAGACAGATGAGTGGTAGTTTTTATTATTAGTTTTCATTATTATTGCCTTTTATTACCAGTGTTATTATAAATCCAATCTTTGAACCTTTACAAGTAAACTTCTGAGAATGGTAACATCAGCAGATTACACACTGCAACATAGGTAGTACCTATGATGGTACTTCAAAATGCTTGTGTGGAAAAATGAAATTAAAAGATAATTAAAAATAAAAACTTTACTTTTCAACCTAAGTTCTATCAAGGTCAAGGCACTTTTATAAGTGGTATCTGCCATTTAGTCCATCCCTAAAGAGCTGAGGGTTTTGGGAATTTAACCGTGTCAATAAAGTCTTTGTTTATCATTGCTAACTAAATGGAGTCATAGTATGGTGCTGTGGGCTAATGCACTGGACGGTAAAGTCGGCTTGAACTGCAAGGTTGATGGTTCAACTTCACCAGCTGCTCCTTGGAAGAACTATACAGGGTCACTATGGGATGGAACTGATTCTGCGGCACTTAATAAGAACAAAAAAGTTGTCCTGGTGTGGCGGTGTGGGATAAGCACAGGACCTTGAAGTTCAAACTCACTAGTCACTCCTCAGAAACCCTATATAAGATCAGTATGAGTCGGAACCAACTCCACGGTAATTAACAACAGCTAAAAAAATAGGCTGCTTTTAAAGATTTTATTAAGATTGGAAAATAAAAATAAGTCAGCAGTAGCTGAATCAGGACTGTAGGATGTTTTCCCATTGAAGCTCTTGCAAATTGCCCTTGATTGATGAGTAGAATGAGAGGTGCCTTGTGGTGAAGTGTGCTGGTGAAATGTCCCCAGGCATTTTCCTGCAAAACCTTTGTTTCCCTTTCTCAAAGCATTGTCATAATAAGTTACTGTTCTTTGGCTCTGCAGAAAGTAAACAAGCAAAATGCTTGTGCATCCCAAAAAACTATTGCTAGGACCTTTGCTCTTGACTGATCTGCTTTTGCTTTTGTTTTGACTGAACCACTTCTACCTCTTGGTAGCCATTGTTTTATTGTACTTTGTCTTCAGGATTGTACAAACCCATGTTTCACCTTTTGTTATAGTTCTTCTGAAAACTACTTCAGAATCTTGATTCCACTTACTTTAAATTTCCACTGGAAGCTCTGTTCTTATTTGCAGCTTATCTGGGCTTAGTGGTTTGGACATGAAGCAGGAAGTTTTCTCAAGATTAATTTTTCAGTCTGAATTGTATAAACTGAACCAATTGAGATGCTTATGATGTTGCTTGTTTCTGCTGTTGTTAATCTTCCAATTAGGGTATGAACAAGATTGTTTCCTTGCAGTTTGATGTGGATGGTCTGCCACTGTGAGCTTCTTTTTGTCTCTTCTTGAAACAAGTTATCCATTTGTAAACTGCTGATTTCTTTGGGCATATTGTCCTCGTAAGCATTTCATAAAGCCTCTTTTTCATAAAGGAGTGGCTTTACCATTCCTTCCAGCCAAGGTTTGCCATAGATATGGTGTTTGTTCTTGATTCAGTTCTATCAGAATCCATGTTGCTCTGATACGGGTTCTTTTCAAACTCATATCTTATCCTTCTTATTACCTCAAGTAAGATCCTCCTATTCAGACGTGTTGTGACAAGTATACAAGTTTATTTGGAACAAAAAATACATATATGGATAGGAGGAAAGTTATGGAGAATTAATCCTGAGGTGCTGGACTGGCTCTGGAATGACTCCCTTCATTTTATTGCGCTCTCATGTATTGTACTCTGCAGATACTGCATTTTGTACAAATTGAAGGTCTGTGTATTGAAACCCATTTCAGTTCCAGTGTAGCCCCCCAAGATTAATTCTCCTCCCACCCATGCATGAGAAATCTAGCCATCATTGCTTTCAGTCTCCCTGGATTTGTTCAATCTCTTGACTACAAGACCACCCCCTCAGCTGCTGACTGCTATTCATCTCCGACCTTTCTGGCCTCAACCTTTAGGGGAGCCTCGCCAGCCGAATTTCCAGCTGTAGTTACAGCAGCCACCCCACCAGTTGAATTTCATGTCAGCTGACCTCACGCAAACCATACTGACCCAAACCTAGTCCTTTTAATCATCTGCCCACAGGCTAGTCACTGTCCCTGGCCCTCACCAAAGGAAATGGGAAACAGTTTGGGCTAGACAAGCATTTACATGATGGCAAACTAGGGTCATGATTAGGAATATGAACTCTGGGGCCAGATCACCAATATTCAGGTTCCAGAGTTTAGATGTTCTAGCTGTGTGACCGTGGCCAAGCTTATTATTTTTTTTCTCAGTTTCCTTTGAAATCATCGGGCCTGGCACTGCCAAGGCAACTGCATTTCCAGCCATCACATTGTTGTTGTGTTGTTGTAAAGTGCCGTTGAGTCGATTCTGACTCTTAGCAGCCCTGTATGGGTTTCCAGGGAGCAGCTGGTGAGCTTGAACTGCTGACTTTGCAGTTCAAACCTACCTTGCAGTCCAAGTTCAGCACATTAACCCACAGTGCCACACCAGGTCCCTATCAGTCAGAACTGACTGGATGGCACTTATAACAACAACTTCATAGGGGTCTGTGAAAATTGGAGACTACATGAAAAGTACCCAAAGCATAGTAAGTGCCATGTCCCCATAAGTGACTGCTGTTGTAATTAGGCACTCTTTCATTAGATTGTGGACCCAACAAAGGTTATCTCTTTTACTCATAGATATGTATATCCCAAGTATCTAAACCAAGACCTAATGTGTAGTAGTTGCTGAGTAAATGGTGTTTTGAATGAATAGTTTTATTAAGACATAGTCAGGGTTAACTAAAACACCCCCCCACCCCCCACCCCCCAAAAAACAAAACAAAACCCCCCACCACCATTGCCACTGAGTATTTCCGACTCAGTGATCTTTTAGGACAGAGTAGAACTGTTTCATAGATTTTCCAAAATTGAAAATCCTGATGGGAGTAGACAGCCTCATGTTTCACCCATGAAACTGCTGGTGAGCTCGAACGTCATTCACAGTGCCACCAGGGCCCCCGTGATGTTAACTGGTTAAGTACAAGTGAGCACATCTTTGATGTATTAAGTTGAAAGCTTAGATTTCAGAACATGGATTTATAGCTATTCCTATTGATAGGGGTCCTGGTGTGATGTTGTAGGATAAGCACTGGACTGTTAGCCACAACATTGGCCGTTCAAACTCACCAGCTGTCCGTAGAAACCATATACAGGGTCAGTATGACTTGGAACCGGCTCAATAGCACTAAACTACAAACAGCAGTTGATAGGATGGAGTCCCAGTGCGCTGTTATAAGATAGGCACTGAACTGCTAACAGCAACTTCTCGGAAGTGCTTTATAGGGTCACTATAAGTGACTGACTCGAAGCACTTAACAGCAGCAAATAGCATTGCTCTGGTCACCCAGTGGTTATGAATCAGGTTGCTAATCTCACAATCAGCAGCTCTAAACTACCAGCTGTTCTGTGGGAGAAAGATGAAGCTCTCTGCTCCCGTAAAGATTTACAGCTTCAGAAGCCCTGTACAGGGTCGCTATGGGTCGGAACCAACTCCATGGCACATGACAACAACAACAACGAGTGACCGACTCGAGGCACTTAACAGCAGCAATAGCATTGCTAGAATTGGCTCAGGTTTTCTGAGTCTTCATCAGTGATAGTGGCTGAGATAAAACCCTCGCCACCTTATTATTGTTGTAAATCTATGTACAATCTTACCACCTTTCAAGTAGGTATGGACTGATTGCTCTTGTTTTTGTAGGTCCACCTTTCACCCACCAGAGGACACCACAGAAAATGGTTTATTATGGGAAGACAACTTGTAAAGACAACTATGAACATTACATTGAGATCATAAAGTACGTGTTCAACTCTTACAAGAGAGAGTCTCCTCTCATCATCAACACGATGGGATGGGTGACAGGTGAGCTCGTGTGACAGAAAAGCAGGGACAGTCTGTGAAGACAGTCTGTGCCAGAGTTTGCTCTTGGGTCTTAGTTAATATTGCAGCCCAGTGTTGAAAGCACTCTTCCTTTACTGAGTACATCTTTGGAGATAAGTATAAACTCCTCTTGTAGGGACATGTGGTCTCCCCACAGTCTCTAACAGTGCTCACGTCGTCTCTTCCTTGCAGACAACGGGCTCTTACTTCTCATCGATCTCATCCGACTGCTCTCGCCCAGCCATGTTGTCCAGTTCAGCTCTGGCCGAAGTAAATACATGCCGAACCTCACCCCAGATTATGTGGATGACATTGATGGCTTGTACACGAAAAGCAGGCCCAAGATGAGAAATAGAGGTTTCAACCTTCCAGAAGCAGAAAATTTGGAATTTATTGACGAAGAAAGAGGGAGTCCAGTTGTGTTTTCTGGTCACAAACTGATGTGCGTTCGATCAGAGTTTACATTTAGAAAAACTCCAAGAAATAGGTAAATAAAGAGTCACCTTTTGGCTAGAGAATTATATTTCTTCAGTTTTTAAAAAGTCTTCTATTCTCTATACCTTGACAGGAGTAAGTTTTCTAAAAGTTTTCAAATCTCTGCCACAGTTCTGTATTTACAAAGGCATCAGTTACCTTCTGAACTGTTCAGACACACCTTTGGCTCCGGTTACCAGGAGCATCAACTTCAAGGACAGTCTTTGCGGGTGTGTTTTCCCATAGGAACAACAGACTCTAAGGTGGTAAACATCTTAAGAAAACAGCGCAATTCTCAATTCCCTTGTCAGTGTCATCTACACAGGGACAGATGTGCTTCAGTTGCTGCATGAGAGACACACATGTAAGGTTAGATCACTACTGACCTGACTGATTTACTTTTCAGAGAATCGCATAACAGAGTTCTTCGTGAATTGGCAGTCTTGGGTTACCTTGGCAAGCTGCAGCCCCCAGATCCAAAGTTAGTTTCTCCTATACAAGACCTGACGCCCTACCAGGTAATCTGAACTCATGTGAGAGAAATTCTCTTCATTTTGTTAAGCAGCACTTACATGCCTTCCTGTGTACCAGGTACTGTTGCGCCTTTTTCCCACCTCATCCTCAGAACAACCCTGAGATGCAGGTTCTGTAATTACCCTCATTTTCCAGATGGGGAAACTGAGATGCAGAGAAGTGAAGTGATCCTGCTGAACTGGCAGAGCAGGACTCCAAACCCAGGCAGTTTAGCTCCAGAATCCATCCTCGTAACTGTTGCTGTGCCTGGTGTGAGTGTGGTCATGTGGTGGTTGAGAATGGTCTGCCTTGTCCCAGTCAGTGATGGTGCTAGCTAGGAGGGAAACCCAGCGCTCCCTGGTACTCAATGTGCGTAGCTCAGGTCCTCACTTGTAGATTGGGGATGGTACCAGTACCTTGTAGAATGGTTGTAGAGATACAGCTAGTGTTCAGAAGAGCGCACTTAATACGTCTGACATTAGTGTTATCGTCACACCAGAGTACAAGGGGGCCTCCAAAAAGTTCGCGTAATGGAATTTAAAAATAGTAGAAAATTTCCACAAACTTTTTGGAGCCTCCTCATATTTACAACTTAGAATCCAAACTGTTGAGAATTGTTTCACCACATTGTTAGGTTTCAGGATGATGAGAGAATGAAAATAATAGTAGGTAGCAGTTCTTGAAACATTGGATCTGTGTTCTGTGTTAATTAAGCCTGTGCCAACTCATTGACTCACAATGATCTTGCTACCACTCCCATTTTACACATGATAAACCGAGGCCAACGACGTTGAGTCAGTTTGCCCAAAGTAGCATAGGAAAAGGTTGATCTGGGATTCAAGCCCAAGCGCCCTGACTGTGCAGCCCCTCCGTGGTGGAGGATTCACTGTGTGCCAGGCACTATTCAATGCTGAACATGGAATGGCTTACTTACTGGCTCCTCAGGGCAACCCCTGTGAAGTCAATGCTACTGGGGTTCCCTGCTGACAGCTGGAAACACTGTGACCCCATCAGGAGGAGCCACTTGCCTGAGGTCACACAGTCAGAGGTAGTGGCCTGAGCAGCAGGGTAGTGTCTCCTGGGCCTAATGCTGAGATAGGCTCCAGCCCCCCTAGAGAATCTTGGGTAATGCCTTTAGGGACCTTAGTTTACTGGGCCATTTATTCCCTTGGAGATACTTTGTAACTGAACCTGCAACTGATCTGCCAGTAATTTAATTTCATGGCCGTCAGTGGTTTAAAATATATTTTTGAAGCCTAAATAATTTGTGTAACAAAATATATTTTTATTCTAAAAATTTGGAACTCTCCAGAAAGTTAAGGAAGCCTTGGTGGCACAGGGTTGAAGCACTTGACAAACCAAAAGGTTGGCAGTTTGATCCCACGCAGTGACTCAGTGGAGACAGACCTGGCCATAGGTTTCCATAAAGACAGCAGCAGCCTAGCACACCCTCGGGGTCGCTCTCCTCTGTCCCATAGGGTTGGTGTGAGTCAGAGTCAGCTCAGTGACACTCTCTATCAACAGCAACCCTGAAAGGAATGTGCTAAAGGTAGTTCATTTATGTTGTGGTTGAGGAATAGTCAAATTTGCCATCATGCATTGATTTTTATGGTTTACCACAGGAAACCCCTCCCTAAATGTGCCTCCCTCTAGCTCGTTTATATGTCCATTTAAATAAGAAATTCCAAATTTATGGCTTAGATTTCTAGTGAGTGTTACTGGTACACAAGAACTGCATAAGTTCATTAGGGTCACTGCTTTAAAGCTCACCAAACACCAGTTAGTGATGGTGTTGTTTATAGGTCATTTTGGTAGTCTGCCTGGCAGACATAGCTCTAGCTTGCTGGTCCGTCTTTTGTAAGAATTATAGGTGGTCTGTCATAGATGGGGTAATGGGTTGTACACATTGACCTTCCAGGTCCCCTTCAATGCAGTTGCACTACGGATTATGCACGCAGATGTCGCCCCTACCCACATCTTGTATGCTGTGAACGCCAGCTGGGTCGGCCTCTGCAGGATCCAGGATGACGTCAGAGGCTACGTGAATGGGCCCATCTTACTGGCCCAGACTCCCCTTTGTGACTGCGTGGGGTTCGGTGAGTCAGAGTATAATGCTTACCTGTCTGTTAGTGGCATCCTGGTGTGGTGGGCTCCTGTAGCTGCTCTTTAGCTGAAGCAGCAGAGAGCTCCTCCTCCTTCTAGACTGGGGCTGGGGGTGGGGGTGCTAGAGACGAGGAACATGGCTGCTCTTCTCTTGGCCTCGCCTGCCAAGTCCTCTAAAGTCCAGAACTTGGTGCTCTTCTCACTTGAGCCCTCTTCTCTAGGCCTTCTTACCCACTGCTGGCGTGAAATCCGTCTTTAGGCTGACCATCACGTGGGACCCTTCAGCACAGTATGGTGTCTTCACTGTGGAGCTTTCCACTCAGATGTCTCACGACTTCTTAGACCTCCTCCTCGGCCCTCCCAGCCACCCACACCATCTCCTGCTGTTGTTCCCATCCCCTCTGTTCTCCTCAGAGCTCACTGGGTTGTTCTCGGCACTTCCTCTCCTGCATTCACTACATCCAACCCATTAGCAGGTCTTGTAGCTTTCTCTTCCTTTCCATGCTCACCTGAGCTGCTGGGAAACTTCCTCTCCAATTCCTCCTCACAGTCAAATGATCTGAACACAGACATGAGTGTGTTACTTCCCACTGCACGTTAGGTCCACAGTCAGCACTGCAGCACTATATCCCTGCCTCCATCATCAACCTTTTCTTCACATTGTCGTCCCTTCTCCCTGGCTCACAGAGGTCGGTTAGTGCTTGTAGGTGTCATAGAAGGGGCCTGGACCTAAGTGACCCAAAGTAGCATGATCATTGAGTAAATACATACACTTTTCTGATTGGTACAACACTGTCCTAAAACCATAAAGCAGGAATATTGGATTATCTGCTTTGTGTTCTTCAGTGATTAATTTTCTCCCTGTCTTGTGCTTGCCTCACTGAAAACTGAATTTAGAACTTTTGCCTGTAGGCCATCTTGGTTCCTCACACCTGAGCAAGGGAAAGGGGTTTGAATGCGACATTTCTTGATACTTTGCAGTTTTAAAGCAAAGTAGCAGAACTGACACTCAACCTTTAAGCACCATCCTTCAGTACTCGAGGTGGGTAGGCTTGCTGTCTCTCTGAAAGGGTGAATTTTGCACTGTGAATGTGTCGTCAAGGGATCTGCCGAGGGATTGACATGGAGAAGAGGCTTTACCACATCCTCACCCCGGTGCCCCCGCAAGAGCTGAGAAATGTGAACTGTCTGCTGATTGGAGCTGTTTCCATCCCACATTGTGTCTTCAAGAGCCAGGTGAGTGTAAGTCCAGCAGTCAGCCTCAGGAGGGCCATGTCCACAGAAGAGTAAGTGAGTGATGGAAGTAGGGGCAGGAGTCACGTGAACAGGTTACTGCTTAGGAAATAGGCACTTTGTTTTAGGGCCTGAATGTGGCATGATGGAGTGTCAGGGTGGTTGCAAAGGCCTGAGGGCATAAGTCACCTTCAGTTGGGACAAGAGCCCTGTGGTAGAGCCAGGGTCGCAGGAGTAGGTTGTATGGGAGAAGAGCGCAGAGGTTGCCTCCCTCATATTACCTTCCTAAGGATGATCCATGGGAAGGTACTGGGTTGCTGTGTATTGGCCAAGGGTATCCCAGGGATATTGGTGTGGCCCCAGAGCAAACCACAGGAGCTGCAAGTAGAGTGGGAGGCGTGGCTGTTCCTGCTTTGCCCACCTGCTTGTTTAATACACAGGAGACACATACACCCTTATGCTCTTGTTGGCATGCTTGTGGGATTGCACTGGAAGGAGGCACTATCACGTTTGCAGCTGGGCTGATTGCTTTAAGTGGGTCCTTTGCGGCTGGACAAGGGTGTAGGGGTCCTAGAAAAACCCTTATCTCTCGACTCACTGTTAACACTGTCTTCTAGGAAACAAAGAAAGCTGCAGGGCTCTGCTTGCTGGGGTTTGGCATGTTTCCATCTGTTTTCTTTGTTCTGTTTCAGCGTGGGCCTGAAGGAATGATACCTTACATCACAACAGATTATAATTTTAGCCTTCCTGGAGCACGAGACAAAGTTGGAGCAAGAGACTCTGAGCAAACCGATGAGGAGAAAAAATACCTGAGATCCAAACTGTTTAGAAAAATTAACCTGTATTAATGTTTTTACTATTGCAAGACATTTGTCTACCAGAAAGCTTGATTTATTTTTCTCAGATGTAACATCAACTGACTTGGTAGTGTTTTATGGAAACAAATGGAACACTTTTCTAGCAAACAGTATTTGTATATAATTCATGAATATGGTTAATAGTAGGTGTTTTCATGTTTCTCTCATTTTAAAGCTACACAGTGGAGACCTTTGTCTCCGTCTTCTACGTGGTCAGTTATATTTCTTTTTATCCTATTTGTAGCAGCAGAGAAAGTGCACTATTAAAACAATCTGTTTTGTTCAAAACCTCTTCAAGGTACTGGTAGTTGAACTCATGATAAAAACAGAGATCTTGGGACCACAAAAATGTACCAGAGAGGAAGGGAGGCTGGTCTACGGGATATTAGGAACAATGGACTGTGAAGACGGGCTCCTTTTTCTCTGGTTGTTGTTGTTAGGTGCCATCGAGTCAGTGCCAACTCATAGAGTGAGGTGCAAATTGAGGGAGGGGGACCCTGTCCAGGTTACCTCCCTGACTTCTAGATGGGTGGTACCGTCATGGGTGCTCCTTCTCATGCCCTGTTGGTTTGATTGTAAATAAGTTAATCGCCCATTGATGGATTGAATGATGAAAGATGATGTTTGATCTGGTAAAGTTAATCAGAGTTCAGTAGATCAAAGTTGAACTCAGTGATGTAACCCTGTAATGTCATTCTGGAAAACTGACTCTCAAACCCAGGAAGCATCTCTAGGGGACTCTTTAAAGCTGGATGTATCCTGAGTTCACATCTGAGGCTGAAGACACCCACGGGTCTGAGCTGGAAGCAAGGGTGTTGGCAAGAAGGACTGGCAGACCAGTCATTTCTGCATTTAAAGATGGTGAGATACTTACTGGGGCAGCATTGTCATCTGCTATTGTGACCGTATCAGCAGTGGCACTGTAAGGTAATGCACTGGATTGCAAGGTCGATTTGAGCTGCAAAGTTGGCAGTTCAAGCCTACCAGCCACTCCTCAGAAACCATTTACAGGGTCTCTACGGGTCGGCACCGACTCAACAGCACTACACAACAACCACCACAAAGCATGATCATGTGAAGGATAGTTATTGTGATATGTGAGTCTTAACATTTATGTTTATTTACACTGTTGATTATCAGTATCATAAGTTCTTTGTGGTGGCCCTTCAGCACGTCATAGACACACAGAAAAGGACAGGAACCCTCCATCACCCTCTCTACATCCTAGAGACCACTTAAGGTGCAGCTTCATAGTTGTCTCTTAAGTACATCCTAAGTTTGCTTGCATCATATTTTTCTATATTGGTCTTACCAAGAGTTTGAACAAAATCCACCACCAAGAGTTTGAACCTGTGTCAGACTTTTCCATTTCTCCATTTCCTTATATCTTTAAGGTAGCACTGTAGATCGGAGTCCTGGTGTGGCGCTGTGGGTTAATGCGCCAGACTGCAAAGCCATTTGAACTGCAAGGTTGGCAGTTCAAGCTCACCAGCTGCTTCTTGGAACCCTTTACAGGGTCGCTATGGGTCGGAACCCGACTTGACAGCAATTAACAACAACAATGACAACATAGATCATTAAGAGTCTTAGTGTAAAAAAAAAAGAGTCTTAGTGTAGGTAAAGCACTGGACCACAAGGTCGGTTTGAACTACAACATCAGCCCATCAGACTCACTAGCTGCTCCTTGGAAGCCCTATATGGGGTCGGGTTCACCATGAGTCAGAACTGGCTCGATGGCACTTAACAATAGTAGGTCATTATTAACAGAGAGTCTCTGAAGTTTGAAAGTGGTAGGCATGTAATTTGCATTTTTATTAAATCCAGCCTAACTTCCTGAATAAGGATCCCTGGTGGTGATGTGGTTCAAGTGCTCAGCTACAAAACTGAAGGTCAACAGTTTGAACTCACCAGTTATTTTTCTGTAGAGCGATTTAGCAGTGTCCTTCTGTAAAGAAGCCTTGAAAACCCATATAGGGTCTTTGTTGCTCTTGTTAAGTGCTGTCGAGTGGGTTCCAACCCATAGTGACCCTGTATAGGGTTTCCAAGGAGTGACTGGTGAGCTTGAACCACCAACCTTGTTGTTTAAAACTGACTTTGCAGTCCAGCGCTTTAAGCTGCAGTGCTGCACCAGGGTCTTTGGGCCATTGGTAAAGAACAAGGCAGTACCACTAGAGGGAGCTGTTGGCTATTCATCAGGTGGCTGTCCTAGCGCTGGCCCTAGGAACCTGTGTCAGACTTTTCCAAGGGGGTTCAGAAATCCTGCTTGTTCTGGGACCAGCTCCAGGGTGTGCCCTCTTCTCTGGATCTTTGACCATTTGATGTCAATCAATGTCGGTAGCTTGGGTACCCAAGAAAAGGATAGGATCCCAAGACAGAATGGAACCAGTCCTCTACACGTTTCTACAGTCTGTTATGGTTCAGCCTGCGTAAGATAGAGTTCTGCATTAGTTAATTCTCTACAAAAGCTTAGTCTTGTTTGTGATTTCCAAAGTAATAGTTGTTTGTTGGAGTCCTGGTGTGGCATTGTAGAATAAGCACTGAACTGCTAACCACAAGGTTGGCAGTTCAAACCCACCAGTTGCTCCTCAAAAACCCTATGTAGGGTCACTATGAATCAGAACCAACTCCACAGACACTCAACAGCAACAGTTGTTGGTTGCCGATGAGTCAGCTCTAACTGCTGTGACTGTTAGAAACCAAATCACCAGGCCTTTCTCCCAACATGCAGCTGGGTGGGTTTGAACTGCCAACCATTCGGCTAGAAGGTAGGGATCACAGTGGGTTTGAACGATGGCAGAAACTGGATGTTTGGAACTGTAGCCTCCACCACTTCCCTCCTTTCTCCAGGCAGTGTCACCTGAAAGCTGTCCGTGTGGTCTCATGTCCTGCTATTATTTAAAGAGCTCCAAGGAAGCAGCTTCTATGGCCTCCATTGAACTTATTCATTCCAGGGGATTTTTCTTAAAACCCACATATATTTTTTAATTTTATAAACACATTACATGTAGGAAATTATCGTTAAGTCCACCGCCACGAGGGTAATAAGTTAATACTGTGGTGCTATCTCAGCTGATATATTTTTTTTTAACAAACTGATAGCATACTGTATGTGGTTTTCTATCCATTGTTCGTCATTTAACATAAATTTCTGTGTCATTAAATATGTTTGAAAACATGCGCTTGATTTCTGTGTAATCTTATTATGTAACTAGATCATTTATTCCGGGAAATCATTCAAATGCTTAGAAATATGGCAGAAACATGGAGGAGGGCGCTAATGGGGGGTGGGTAATAAAATCTGGATGCCAGACAAGAGGAAAACTGAGGAAAGTCCAATAAATGTCTATGCCTTCTGTGCATTTCAGCATTGAGTACAGTGGGAATTTAATTTTTCTGTGTGGGCCCAAGTATGTAACTGAAGAGACAATGCCGTGTCTTTTCTGGACTCTCTTTGAAAGAAAATTAGGAGGAAAGAGGATTTTGTCCTTTGAGTTCAAAAGAAAGCTAGAATCCTGGGGTCTGCCTGTCTCTGTTCTTGGGGCTTCTCATGGCGGGCCTGGTGCAGAGAACAACCTTGGCTGACAAGCTGAGCCTGAACAGTGGCTAAAATAAATATGGGGGCCATCTGTGCAGTAAGGGGGAAAACACTCACGTGACACTCCGGGCCTCTACAGACAGACCTTGCTAAGTTAAATATTTCCAAGACTGCCAGGAAAAATTGGAGTAGGGGGCTGGCTGGTATCCTCGAGGAGACACGCTGAGTTGAAGGGAATGGAGTCTGGTCTGTAAATGCCGAAAGCTGAGTAAGCGAGATGTGGACATCAGCAAATAAGCCGAGCTGGGCAGACAATGTGTCGGGCTTGGAAGCCAAGGAAGGGTAGCCATGGCAACTGGCCCTGATGCTGCTCTCGCACTCAGCAGACAGGCGCAGATTTTTCTAACCTTTTGGAACTTGCTCCGGTTTCTGGCTATGAACCTCTCTGCCTGATGCAGGGAAACCACCAAACTTTAGAGACCTTCCTCCTAGCCAGGGGGTTCCAGCAGAGGGGCTGCTGTGAACCCACAGTTCTTTGGAACTTTGTTTTCTAAGAAATGAGGGAAGGCACCCACTGAGGCAGCCAGCAGTATGAGAAATCTGTTCCAGGGAACAAATGTGTACTTGGGAATGGAAAATACAGAGAGAAAGAAAACAGTAAGGAAACCCAGTGTGGTAGTGTAGCTTATAAATTGAAATCTACCACCCCCCAGGGGACCTGTCTCAGGAGAGCACATTGGCTGAATCTGTGCAGCCAGATTCAACTGGAGGAATTAGTAGTGGGGCTAAGTCTGGGAGAAGTCCTCTGTTTGAATTGTCGCCAAGCAGGGAGGAAAGGACACCTGTGCGCTTGACCAGGAAACGTAGGGCCAGGCCAAGTGCCACCATCCAAGGTCAAGTATGAATTCAGTCATGATAAAATATGCATCTCCGCCTGAGAACTGGCTTAACCTGCGTGCAGCCACTGGTGAGTATTAGCTTCCTCTCTTGTACAGAAAGGAGGGTTTAAGACAGAGAAGGACTTTGCAGGTCTTGGAGGGGTAATGAAGACCCCCATGCTTGGAAAGTTGGTTGATAATTACATGCTTTAAGAGCCTCTAGCCAGGAGTCGCTGGGTGGCAAAAGCAGTTTAGTACTTGGCTACTAAAGGTTGGTGGTTCACATCCATACAGAAGTACCTTGGAAGAAAGGCCTGGTGATCTACTTCAGGGAAATCAGCCACTGAAAACCCTGTGGAGCACAGTTCTACTCTGACACACGTGGGTCACCATGAGCTGCAGTCAACTCAATGGCAACTGATTTTTTAACTTTATTGTGAGCTGTTTGAAGGTTTACAGAGCAGATCATCAGGTTTACATTTAACCATATATTTTGTTTTGTCTCGGTTGCAATCCCCTCGATTAACATCACTTATCCCACTTCTTCCCTGTGGTTCTTATACCCATTCCTCCTTGCT